TCGTTCTAGGAAAGTTTCTATTCGCCATTAGCCCGGGCAAACCAGGCAGTGGACCGAAAGAAGACATATTTAGCTCTGAGCCAACGTAATGTGGGAGAGCTTGTGAAGGATAACCTGCGAAAGGTGTTGTGTCAGGTCTCGGGGATACAAGCGGCATTCCGGCTTTCAAACGCGTCTTCTCTTCACTACCGTAGCTGAAAATTTCACTCCCAATGACTCCGCTCTCACCAGAGCTTTCCTTTGGCGGGGTAGGAGGGAAAGGGAACAAGTGCGCGGAGCTGTGAGACAACGACATGGAGCCTGAAACCGCCGAAGGTGGCATTGAAACAGGCACAGGACTCGGTCGATGTCCCTGCTGGAAGGAAGAACACCACACTGACGGTGGAGTTGCGGTGGAACACCCGTGCGACATCAGACCAGGAGCTGGCTTGCTCTCGATCCACTGGATCGGCGTGTGGAAGTGAGGACGACAAACCTGACCGGGAGGAACGCGTGCCGTTGGCAAGAACACCCGGCTACAGCTTCCTTGAGGCCCAGACTGGCTTTGAGGATCTTGAAAAGCTGTTGCACCGTGTGCAGCCATTTGGCACATTGACGGGCGATAGCTTCGGCCGCCAGAAGCGTACGGCCAATTTGTTGCGTTTCCCGAACTGTCGAGGTGGTGAAAGAAAACGTCGACCTCGTCTGGTGGAAGAAGTTGGTTCGTCTCAACCAAATTCATGTTGTTTGCTGCGCAGTTCGGGGCAGATGGCTGCATTCTCTCGCTTGCATGAGCGCTTTCGTGTTGCTGACTAACTGTCGGATGAATCCATCTATGTTCAGGAGTCACAGCTTCCATCTTCAAAGTGCCAACTCGCGAGAAACCTTCAAGAGAACAGAGGTGTTGCTTAAGGCAAATAGAACGCAAAACTGACAGTGAGGCGTATATTTCAATGGTTTAATAAGTCCCGTAACAATAACTACAGGAAATAATAGGTAAAAGGAATTTCATTGTCAAGGCATTATATTCAATGGGAAATTCGGCGAACGGTGCAAGACGTTAAGAAATAGCGTGCATCACCAAACGGAAGTCTCTATTCACAGTTTTTTACAAGTAAAATGAAGCCTACGCTACTTATCTGATGAACACACTCTAGAAATCTGTAGAAGCTATTCAAACAGATATGGAATTTCTCCAGGGCCCCTAACACACAAAAGGAGATCTCCGAAGCTGTAGGGAATGATGAGTGGGCAGATAAGGCGTTAAAATAAAGTGCGTGGCATTAGCTTTGTAAGGCATTAATGGTGCGCTACTTGATTTGTACGTGACGCGCAAGACAGTCTAAGAAAAGAGGGAAAAAATCTCCCAAGGGTCTAATTCCGTTGTGCGCACCTCGTGAGAAACCAGTCCTTCACACGTAGAGAGCCGTTCAAGAACCTGACGGTGTTTTGTAAATAGCTCACTGTTGAGTCTTATGGGTTAAACCCCGCAATGCGCAAGCTGAGATGTGGTGTCTGGTTAAATTCAAACATTATTTGAAAGGTTTTGTAAGCAAACCAGGTTGAAGTTCGCTCCCGCTTGGTCGGCGCCAACAAACCTGCTTGCATACACATTAAGAGTGACAGGTCAAGCTAAGAACCAATCAGATAGCGTGCCCGTTGACATTTTGTTAGATTCTCTTTTCCATTCAAAACTTCATTGGTACACAAATCAAACAATCAATTCTTCGGCTAAAGTGAGCTGCCAATCAAGCGGTTGGACGCCATGTAAAGTTTTCAAACAGTAAATTAGCGGCAATGTTTCACGTGCGCCCTGTTCAGCATCTAACACTCGTGACGGACGCGCGTTCTACGTTGATGGACGCGCGACTTCGCGATAGTGAGCTTTCTGCAAACTTTGCCAGGAAAAAAATGCTCGACACACCGATGTATGATTTAAATTCTGACGTGGACCACTAAAGCACACTACTCTTCGAAGTCAGATTTAAATTTAGATCGGTAGTTATCGATGTAAAATCAACGTGTTTGACTGTATTTATTATCATCATATACTGTTCTTACAAGCGATAAATAATCTCATATTTGACGAGTTAAAATTAACGGCTCAGAGAGACGCATTAGGGATGGTTGAGTGGTTTTCCATGACGTCCCGAGAAAACGTCCCATTGAGTCTATTTGTCGAACCTATTTGGTCAACTAGAGTTCATCTGGTTGGGCATATCCGCCATTACGGATCAAAGAAAAACAACCTGGGTGCTTTGCTTTTCAACTAATTATTCAATGCCGCACGCTGATTGGCTACGGTGTTAAGTTCATTGTTAGGACAGGTGGAACGTGACCGCAAGATAAAACCGATAACAAAGATAAGCCCCACAAGGATTTTATTGCGTATTTCAAGGCTTGTTATCTGTGTAAATGTTTGCAGACGAAAACCTCTTTACGGATGATAGGAAATAAATTGAACTCTTAAAGCACTTTTTAGCTCCGGTCAGCCGTGTGATGGCTTTACCGCATCTCGGTACTAGTCGCCCCACGCTATCGTCTGTACGTGGTGACCTTTCGCGCGAAGAATGAATAGAATGGCAATATAATTGGTCAGTGTTATCTGAGTTTTCAAACGTTCAACAATGTTGATGATTTGCGTGCGTGGCGATCACTTTCTACAGACAACTTGACGCTGGTTCGCAGCCTGTTTAAACGAGATCTCGACAACTCGAGACGAGGATCATGAACCGTTCCTCGACCTCCGGCGTAGCGTAGTTTTGGCCCATGACATTTAATATTGACAAAAAAATTCCTGTTTTAAAACCACTTCTTTAATCGTCGGTCAGATTCCTGCAGAGTTTGTATCTGTAGTAATGAAAATATTTATGCTTTCGTAATCATGAAGCAGCAGAAATTCGTAAACAAGTAATAAACATAATCGCTGTAATCACGACCGATTACCTAGACAGTACAAAGTTTGACCGGTCTGATAAGAAAGAATCGATCATGCAATTTACACTCTACAGTGAGAGTGTTCCAAATGTACAATGTTTACCGCAGGGATCGCTCTCGCGAAGTGATATTGCAATCCATAACTAGTAATATAACGGAAAAACTCGGGCCTCCTGGGAAAAAAATTCTTTTCTTCTAAATGCTGAATCATTAAAATTTTCTCGCCCCACCTGGAGATAGAACGAAATACAATCAAATCATAGACAGAATGTTTCGATGGTGTGGTTTATGGTAACATCCCACGTGCGTAGTGAGACTAACATGAAATCGACCCAAAGCACGCTATGCTTCAATAAATATAAGAAATTCTTTTTTACGTGATGTCCTTAAAAGTGCTCAAAATAGCCTCTATATTCCCCCTAGTATTCTTAGGTTATCAACATTTCAATTATTTCCCATTATAAGTCATAAATTTTTTAAGCTAAAACTCTTTAGGATAACAAGAAATAGAGATAACCCCTTTATGAAAAAGAATAATAGTTTTTGAAAGAAATTAGAGTATTTATTTCAACAAATGAGAGGCTTCGTTGTTGAAAAAACAAATTGGTCTGAGAGCACGAAAGCTATCCGGCGCTTAGAAAAAGTAGGTTCTTTTAAGATGGTATTAGAATTTAGTGCATTTAATAAATCGCACGAGGAATTAAGCGTTCCTAAAATGAGTAAATTCATTTTATCACAATTAAGATCGAAAAATTGAATTACTTAGATGCGCGGAAGAAATAACTTTTTCATACATAATTGATGTTCGGTAAATTCGCACAACTGCTACTGTTACTGCGGTTTTTTCAATTAAACACAGCTTTCGCCTACCGACAAAAAAAAAATCTCCCACTCCTTCATTTTAAAGGATTAAAACTGTTTGGGTCTCTCTATATCCGAAATGAAGCTACGCAAAAAAAATCCGCCGTTTTCTGAAATGGAACTCTAACTGATGGATTTCTTATGTCATACTGGATTAATTTAGCTGAATGCCTGCGCCGTTGTACAGTTAGGACACTATCTAAATTAAAGAACATAAAACATTTACCAGGAAAAGGTGTTTGAAGGCTCTCAGGCAGAGTTTTGCCATAAAACATTGGACACAGACTCCCCAAGAAGCATGTTCCTTGGTTAACAGTCTCTGCAGACATGGTGAAGCGTTCCTTGTCTAGTTTTATCACTAGTTATGCACTCGCACTTAACTACAACGAGATGAGTGGTCGGCCGCTCATCCAAGATCGTGATGTAGACACGATAGCTAGTGTAGTTATATCTATTCTTACACATTGCTCGCGTCTAAATCCATAAAACACACATGCATCGCTTTGCTTGGTAAAGATAAGTCTAAAGAGTAACGGGGGTTATCAGTGTAATATTCCTATTTTTCTTTGAACAGGTTGGCGATGAAATCTTTTGTATAATCGCCAACGGGCTTGATTGCATTGCTGATTTCTGAAAACACAACTGTTTATTACGTATTTCGCCGTCCTGTTTTGAAAATTTAATCCTAGCAAATTCTTCGCCTCCCAAAGCCGCCGCCCACAAAAAAAGAGAAAACCAAAAGGTTTCATTTTAACGTCGACGGTTCGCGGGTGTAAAATCCATAAAAGCAGGGTGATAATTTGAAAAGTTTTCGAAACAGGAAACTGTGTTTAGTTTTATCAGATGAAGGGGGCTGTCGTATCTTGCTCTCATACTGTGCAAGGGTCTTGTACAGTATCATTTGATCGCTAAAACAAGTCTTAATGTCCGTGATCGATTTTATATCTGGGGACCGAACAGAAGGGCTTTAAAAGCGCCCTCAACAGGGCCAACTGATAAAGCTTCAATCGTGATAAACTCGGATTAAATTCATAAAACGTCAAAACGTTTACGGTTCCAACGGACTCTCTATGGGCGAGAAGGAGATAGCGGCGCTTTCGTACTTACGTGCTAATTTGTACTTGTCCATAGTGACACCAAACGTGTTGCGTAAAAACACGGAAAAACAGATCCTTTCCTGGGCCAAAACAAAGGTTGTAAAGTGATATATTTTTATAGCGCCACGACAACTTATACGTGTGCGATATATCGCTTGCACGCAGATGAATATCAAACGCTTTTGGATAGCTGGAGACGTTGTACATGTAGGAATTTTTGTGGCAAAAAAAACCATCTGTGACTAAATCAGTCAAATGCGGTAGGTAGCTTTGATTTTTCTTCTGTTGCTATGTTGGAGGGCTTTAGCTGTCTTCTGTTGGAAAGGGCAGGATATTCTTTATAATGAAATACAGGAAACGCTGTCTAGGGAAATTAGAAATATGCTGACAATATGAAAGAGCTAGTTGCAATGAAGCACGACCACAAGAATTCATACAAAGAAGTGCACTAAAAATTGCGGCGAAACAGCTTCAAAACACATTTACAAACCATCAAGAGAATTATTCTGATTAAATAATACGACATCGTAAGGCGAGTGCGAAAATTAGACCGATGATTAAAACATTTCAGAAAAATTTCTGGCTACTGTTTTCTCTTTCCGTTAGTGGGGTAAACTAAGTGTTAGAAAGATCCATCAACGTGTTCGCAAGTCGATAATTGTGACAGCAATCGAGAACAGACACTAAACAGAATTTATACCACACAAGTGAACAGTGAAGCATGGTTTATTTCAACTCAAACTGTTGAAATCCAGTTTACCGCATAAGGCAGCTAAGCAGCTTGCATTTTCGTGGGTTTTCCTTAGGCGTTTGATCTGGTTAGGCCAGTTTCTAATACTTGAAATAGGATTGCCTTAGTAAACCAAAAGTAACCAAACAGGAAATTCTTCCATTCTATTCGATTTTCGTCTGTTTCTATCTTTAGCTTGGTTTCAGTATCGAGGAAATAATCGGTTGCAATGACTTTTTAAGCTACATGTTTTATGTTGTTAATCTAAACCAAATATCCATTCTCTGATATTGAGTCGGTCCGAAACCATATATTGCGATTAAAAATAGATCGATGTCAAGAACTCCGTTTCTATGTCTGCGTGCAGAAATTCGATTTTAGCTTAGAAAGAAACTAATCTAGTCTCCCATTACTCAATATTGATATTGGTCGACAAAACTCTTAACTCAACCAACAAATCTCGCACACCAAAACAGAACCCTTATCTGCACGAAAAAACTAACAAAAGGTTAACCTAACAAAAACTAAGAGAAACACAAAAAACCGAGCGATAAATCTGCGTCGCGCGCTCCATTGACGCGCAAAATTTCCATAACAATGACAGAGGAGCTGGAGCAACTTGTAAAACGGAGAAGGCGTTTAATAAGATAATATTGGGCCGGATATATCTTACAACACAAATCACTGAGAAACGTTAAAATTTAACGTTAAAAGACGAAATTTTGCAATGAAATTCATGTTGTTGCTGTTGCTCTATCATAAATAGGAACTTCTTCGTGTTTTCGTGCGGTAAACGCCTGTTTTACGATCATTTTCTAAATGCAAATTTAGTTCTTGTGATCTCGTTGTGGGCATGTAAAATGCCTTATCAGTGATAACCAATTTACTAGTCCTTAAAACTCATCATTTCGCCTCGGAGGGGTTGAAAATTACAAAGCGGACCGACTTAAGGTGGTTAATGGCGTACATGAGAACCGGATTTCTCTTTAAGAGATTTCGTGATTGACAATCGGTCTCCTAGACACTTGAATTAGACCTACTTCACCGCGTTTCTAAACGCCTCTCGAAGAAGGATTACTTTATACAAGACATGTAAAGCAAGCCAATTCAGTCCTAAATGCCTTAAATGCGAGGCTCTCTTAAGGGGATAAGATACATTTCTCTCATCGAAGGAACTCGCAAAAACTCTTGAACTTTTGTTGAGAAAAGCAAAGTTGTTTGTTCAACAGGATGTTCCTTTGTCATTTGGAAAAAAAAATGTGAGAGCAAATAATCCTTTGTTTCCTAAGTAGGTAAATTCACTTAAATTAAGATTCCTAACTACAAATGAAGGAAGTAGTAATTACAGATACGGTATACGTTGCTAGTTCCTCGATGTCGCACTATCGAAAACCCGCTTTTCGTTGCCATCCGGTGGATACACGCTATTGCGTGATCTGTTTGCGCTAAAATTCAAAAAAACCTATTGTGTATAATTCGATAAAAATTACAACAAGTTTGCATGTTTCCTAATCGCCATACTGGGGACAAAGCTAGGATACCTAGAGCGAGCTCAAGAAAGCACAGTGGAGAACAGATACTCAACGAACTTTAATTAAGAGGTGTTTTCGGTTCAACACCGTTGAAGACGAGACATTCCCTCTAGAAACAGGGACATTGACGCGTGCTGAAGCCGCTCTAGAATAATAGATGTTTCTAAAACCAGTGATTCTGTTATCTTTTCAATTTGGTTAAATTTTAGGGCCGAATGACCCGGAACACTTCGCTCTATTGTTCTGTGACTACAACAGTTTTTAATTTATAAACGCGCTCACGAATGCGTAGCAAGGGCGTAGCATGGCAGTTTGGTCGAGAGCTAAGAAGCTTTTTTCGCAAGATTATCTTGTGCCCACGAGTCCGCTAGGCTACCTCTGAAAGCTGGCCCGTCAACTGCTCTCGAACTAGCTAAAGTAGCGGTGTAAAATAGCATTTTTGGCTTAATGGGAAAATTCTTCAGGGGTCAGGGTGGCGACGTGGAGTCGGTTGTCGGTGTCTTTGATTTCTCAACACTATGATAACCTCCTCAACAGTTACAGTTTGTGCAGAGTGTGTCTTAGTTCCAGTACCAGAAGTTTATTTATTCTGCGCAACGCAACCAAAAACAAATCCCCTCTAGCTTTACCACAGATCAAATCTAGCGAGTTCACTCTCTCGAAATTAGGTTAAAGGGATGTGATCGTGGTCCGGTGCCGGAAATGCCAACGGGCTCTCGATATAGCAAGCCACGTTCCTCGGTCATACAGTACTTGCCTCAGCTGATGTGTCTCACGTCAGAGAACTAAAGCCTTGCTCAACTTATCAATCACTCTATCTAAAATCGATAATTGCATAATTATCACGCTTTTGGATCTACGCTTGATACTGAAAGATATGAATTTTTACCTACCAGGATTGTAATGTTTCTCTCGGTCTGATGTAAACGGGCTTGAAACAAGGATGCGACTCTCGTTGACGATATTTTTCTCCTGTTTGCTGTTTTCGCGAATCGCATCGCACCTTTAACCCGACCACATGGTGGAAAATGCACTGGTTTGCAGCTTAAAATTTATTGCCAAATAAGCGCGCTAAATAATTCATCTCGTGTCGTCTGTTCTGATTTCCCACCCTTTTAGCTTAAAATTCAATAACTCGGTGATTTGATGGTAATAATTGTTTATTCAAAGGGAGAGAAGGATAAATATTTCTCGATATTTGCACAAACGTGTGCTGATATGATTGTCACAAGTGAGAACATTTCCCTCCCACTTCATTGGCAAAAGTTATGAAAGCAAACCTTTCTTAGGAGCCGATTTGATAGGTTGTGAGCTATTATGCCTCTCATTCACGGGTTTTGTCGATCCATTAATTTTTGATAACTTTGGCTATCCACTCTCATTTCGCGACTAATTGAATCTTCGCAAACGCATTTTAAGTTTTTAGGAAGACGAATGAGTCGCTGTCAGAACCCCGCTTAGTTTTGGTCAATTCTGTGTTGTCAGTGTACTTGTATAATGGCTTAGCGACACAAGTTATCCGCATATCAATGGCAAAAGATAATACGGCTAATAATAACGACCTAAGTAACTTGTAGCAAACGGGGTAACAGATAATTGCTCAATCGAAAACCGAAACATTTTCCCGTCTAAGTTTAGCAACATAGGGCCAATATATTTTCAACGTGAACTGGTTGGTTGTCACAACTGAATCTCAAAAACTTCTCGCAATTAACTGAGCGTGGTTTTTCAATATTTGCGTGAAGCATCTGCCTGAATAAGTGAGGTAAAAAAGCTGTCTGAATAAAAATGAACGTAATTTTATAATGGCAACCCTTTTGTCCAGTGTGTGAATAATCTATGCATAAGTGATGAAGCAAGCCATCAAGTCTCACACATTTCTAATGGTTTGATAATAGGCTTTTGGCAAATTTCGTATTGAAACATCTGTTTTTTAACCTCGAAATTGTAAGGTGTTTCTAGAGAAATGTTTTTTCAGAAACCGAAAATTTACCAAGGAAAGAATTCGAACGTAGTTTGATTCAAAGCTGTGATCACCTTGGCTCGTAATAAAATCACAGTCTCTTACAAACTACATAAACTATCAGTTAGATACGAGTTTGAAAAGTCGACCAATTCAAGAAACGGAACTTAGATATTGGATTATCGACAGCACTTAACGATAAGGCGGGTGGGTTTTATTAATATTCTCCGAGAGTGATGTGTAGGTATTTACAGAAATCAGTTTGTTGTTTCGTTGAGCGAAGCTGCATCCTTATCGAGATAAACTCATCAACCTCCCGTTGTGATAGCGCAGATACAGCAATTTTCATTGATCAGCGTGATAAAACGAAGTCAAAATCTATCTTTCAGCGCTACAGGGAGCTTGTTCGTTCAAATTAGTGTGTACAGAAATCTGGCAGGAACTCGTTACTGCTCAATGCTGCGGTTCGTTGGATAGTCAGAGACCTTTGCTGCCTTGCAGTATAGAAATTGCTCAGATGAACACGCAAAAAACCTCACCACAAACCACCGAGGCGCAAGGTAATCCGATTAGATTTTGCTCAAGTAAAACAAAAGCTACTCACCTCGTCGGAGATTTATTTGTTCAGCGAGCTCCAGCGAGCGGTGACTTTTTCTCCTAGAGAAAGTACTCTTTGAAAGCCAGAGCTAGTGTTACATGCTATTTATATGACTTCTGAGCTTCGGCGCCAATGGGGCGCCAAGCGAACCGGTCTAATTCACTGCTTTGTCTAACATACACATGCTTCGCTTTGCCGACTTCTAAGCACGCAAGATGTAGCTGAGATTTGTGCTAAATCAACCTATTTTCTAACTGCAATGTGTTAAGTTCGACCGAGCGAGTCACTGCATTTAGAGCGAATACCGCACAAGATGACGAAGGTTTAATCAAGTGTGACGGATTTGTGGTGTTCATATCCGCGCGAAGTGTTGGCGCCGAAATTGTGTATTGCGCTGGATACGCTATTTTGATTGAATCCATTCGTTAAGCAGGGCAAGAATGAACCGGCGTTGTACACACGGTATTTAATAGCTCTTAACTCGTGCATGAGTGTGGGGATTCGAAAGCCACAGTGAAACAAGCAATAAATTTCACACATTAATCTTTACAGTGAGCGTTACATGTCCCGGTGTGACCCGATTACGAACGGAAATTGAAAATTGTTCACGTTGACAGTACTCGAGGGTAGGTAAGTGAGACACGCAAGGAGAGGAAACCCAAAATTTAGCGTCAAATGACAAAAAAGAAGGCCCACTAATTTTTGGTTTAGAGGGAGTTGACAGACTGACGGTTTTTTTCCTGGATATTGATCCTTGGGATGTGACGTACGTTTTATCCAGTTATTTTCTTTTTAAATCGATCCTTCCTGCTCTCTCTCGAGAAGGGAAAAGTTAACATCATGGGATCAACTCTATAAAACCGAAATAACTGCAGCAAAAATTTTGATTGAAAAGCGCTGTTAAAATTAAATTACGAAACTCAAGAAGGTGTGTTTTCTGTAATAATCGAGATACAAAGCCGCAAACAAGACATTTTTAACACGAGGATCGATTGAAAGACGTAAAAGTTTGTCACTTCAATAATTTCTTAAGTCATGTAGTGATTTATCTCTTTACAGGACAGCTAGGAAACTGAAGTATGACAACAGAAAAGACCGCCTTCATTCATTTCTGTTGAGGGTAACTGATGGTGAGGCTAATTATAAATACATTGTCCGTTTCTGACTAAATTCTTTGATCCCATCTGGCTTGTTCGGAGCCACAAATCTTGTTTCCGTATACAAATTCGCCCACCTATGGTGACTTAGAGCGAAAAAAAAAGTTCCTTAATAAAAAACTGAATAATAACAAATTAATGAGCGTGTGCGGAATTTGTAAACACCGTATTTAGACTGAGCAAAAAAGCCAAGGCGGCCATACTTCAAACATCTGCAGTACCGTACTACCAAAACTGAACGCATTAAAAAAACTGATTTGCGCTTCAATTTCGCTGCCGCCTTACTTCGTTTTCAACAAAAGCTGCGCTTGTAACGGGATCTCTTAATTTTGACATTGATATGTTGTATATTAGAAATTGTTTGAATTTCTGCCTCGTCTACCAAGACTTTTGACGCCAATGGGTTATTTTGTGAATTGGTTGCCATACATCCCGCAAAAGGCGGGGTTTAGTGTCTTCTGGAAAGTTCTAAATGTCCTACACGAAAACCTAAAACGGGATATGTTACGCTGGTTCTCTTCAATTGCAAAAAATTATGATAAATGGCAATTTTACGCGCGACAATTAAACCATTTAGAATGCGTAAGCCTTACTGATGCGTCTTTTTAAAACAAAGTTTCCTTTAGTTCGTTTACAATGATTTCAGGCCTTGAATTACGCAGATGATGAATTGAAAACCACACGCCTAGCAGATTTCATCCCTTTTTCTACATAAACTGGGATCACATTTGAAAGAGAACAACGAGCAAGCTTGTACCATCGCAATATCTCGCTTCATCAAGCATCTTGCTAGCATTCGACGAGATGACCATTGAAATTTAGAATTGACTGAGAGGACGTAATCATCTACATACGATAACTCTTAGCTTTCATAAATTATTGAATTTAAAAATATGTTAAGGTTATCTCTGTTTGCAGGATGGAAATAATCCTCCCTAATACAGTGACTCCTTCTTCCTTCAAACTACAGTCTACTCCATACTCATTTGTTGACGAAATAAATGTTACGAAATTCGTATCAGCTCTTAGCTGCAACATCGCCTATCCGTTAGAGGAAAAGGCCTCTTCAATATATATTTCCTAATTCTGCCCACCACGTACATTCTCTCATATCGTAAACATTTCTTTCTTTCCTTTCCAGAATTCTCAACCATGTTTCACATGGACAGTCGGCAAAAATTCCGCGCAATTTGGTGTCATTACACTAAAACAACAAACTACATCCTAAGAGCGCCTTTGGGTTTATCTAAGATTTGAAAGGTAGATATTTAAGCTTAAGTTTCATAACAGAAATCTAGAATCTCACCTCAGGAAAGATTAGAAGGTTTCGTGAATGATTTAGTTTATCTTTGAAGCTGATGTCTCCGACTCCTGGGTATACAAAATTCAAGTGTTTGCGCTTACGAGTTTAATAAGGTGATAGGTGTCAGAGAACAGTTTTGATTTGCGGAAAAAGACCTGAAAGGTCACCTAAACGAAAAAGTGATCTCATAAACAAGGAACGCATTCAAAACTTGCCTAAGTAAAGAGAAATAAATTGGACGATCTTAAGTCCGAGAAAAATTGAAAAAACAGCAAAAACTTTATCCAAATGCTTACCGTGTTGTAGACGATGGGAAAGGTAGTCGAGACTTCTTGTTTTGCCCTTGTGATATTCGCGTTCAGAGTGGTTCAGTCTAAAATATGGCGAGATTCGATTAACTGAGGGGAATTGAAATATTCTGCCTATATTTATAAAACATATTAACCACATAACATAATGGGACTGGTTTCACATGCATGGCTGCTCGACCAATCTCCCGCGCGCGTTGTGGAGCTGCGCGAGCGATCCGCCCACGTGACAAACTTCGTGGAAGCAGATGTACTACATCGGTCAGTTGCGTATGAATTGAAAGATCAAAGTGACCCTGTTTTCTTTGTGATAAAAATAAAACGGAGGCATCACTCTGAGAAAATGGAAAATTAAAGAGTCTTTTAAGACATGAAAGAACACAGTTTACGTCGCAAACGGCTTTTCGTAATTAATTAAAAAGATTTCTTCGCTGCATGGGTTCGTTGGCAGCACCGACCAGTTTGCGTGTCAGAAATAAACTTGCGTGCTCAGAATGACAGTGGCTTTTACTGGACTTGCACGTTAACTGTATTTAGTGTCAGATTTCATAGGATTAAGCATTAAAATTTAACCTGTACACGACCTTTGTTCAGTAAGAGTATTACGCATGCTGGCTGTATTGGAAATATTTTAGGGGTAAATGTTTATACCAACAAAACCTGCCGGTAAAACTGAAGCTCACCTCGAAGACAGAGTCTCTTTAATATAAAATTTTTTTGAATATCAATCCACCTTCTCAAGAAGATGTTATTAAAACGATTTACCTTTGTGAAATAGTGTCAACTAATGGAGATATAAAGATATTTTAGTTTATTCATCGAAAGGTATGTGAATCAAATTAGAATCTTGTTTTGCAGTCACTCAAAGAATCTATAATAGTGTTAAATTGAAGAATTATTCCTCTTCAAAAAAACACAAATCTGCCATTTTGTCGCATGAAACGTAATAACCTTGTTAATGCTGGATTTTTCGTTGTAACACTTCTGGGATAACTGTTTCTTACTTAAGAAAATACATATCCTGAATACCGGAGAAAACAAGATGGCCCATATCTCCGTAGATTTCGTCGTTTGCTAAATATTGTATCTATGAATAAAGAAGGAGAAAAACGTTCCGTCGAACACAATTAACGAGAAATTAATAGTGTTGAAAAATTACCTCAAAATTTAAACAGGGTTTTCTATTCAAAATATGGATTAAAATCTTTATGGATAACCTGCTTGAGTACTTTAAGATCGACACCGCGTCTAGTGCGAGCGATTTTTAAGTGTGAAGTAAATTCCGACGAAATCGGAAGGGGGGCGTTTTTTGGAGTTTGCCAAGTGAAACGATAAAAAGCCTCTCTTCTGAGTCTAGTGAATCAATGCCTGTCAATAGTTTTGAAAAGAGAAGGTACGGTTAGGAGGGAAAGCAGTATCGAGATATACAGTTGTTTGAAAATAACAATAACAAACCAAGAAAATAAGTACATAAGGTGACAAAAATTCTCGCTCAGGAAGCCAGCGAGATCCTAAGCTTTCCTCTCAGAGACCATAAGAGGATCAGATACGTAAAACCCAAAAATATAATCCTCTGGGTTTCTCTGGCAATCAGATCAATGCATATAAAACACGAATAAAGTTAACAAGTGAGGTTTAATTATGAGATAAAACTCTTCGGCTTTTACATGCTGTTTTTTCAAGGGTCTACACCATAAAATCACGATATGTTTGGGAACTTTGGAAGAGAATCGAAAAAAGCCAACATATGACAAAGCAGTCTCGATGGAAAAAAAAAGTTATGAAACTAGCCCTGTGAAACATGTTTGGGTTTTGAAATGAAGTTTCTTTCTACCTACCTATGTCTCGCTGCGATATGACGATGGCAAGACTTAAGCTATCGACAGAGATTTAAATAAAACAACATAGGTACGAACTAACTATAAATTTGTCAATAATTTATCGTGATCGCGCTTTGAAAAACCTATCTCCAAGAAAATATATCGCGAGATGTCTTCGCAAAACATTTAATCAGTTATGTAGATATTCCAATTTTAAAGTCCTATATTGAGGTAATATTTTTCACTAAATTCATGCCTTCTTTATCGATAAGATGTCTATTATGAAACTTAAGTTTAAGTTTTGTGGAGAAAACTTGTGATGTATTTGAGATATATATTCAGTACTAAAAATGCAGGGACATGAGGAATCGAAAGATCTGTCTATATTGTCTAAAATCTTTAAAGGGACAGCTGTAGTGACAGACATTCATTTTATCAAGGAAAATACAACGAGGATAATGAAAGAGAGAAAAAAAAATTGAAAAAAAATCCCACCTTCTCTATCTTGGACAGTCCACAGGAATCAGGGATTTGGAAAATTTTAGATGAACAGCTAGTCTTCTGGGATCGACTGGATTGAATTGGTAAAGCGATTGAAAACTCTATTTAAGGAAGTTTTTCTTCTTTTTAATAACCGACCACTCTTGAGCTATTTCAATAATCGAGACGGTATCAGCACTTTTTTGCATGATCTTTAATTTGTTTATATCAGAGACTAGGGTGCGGCAGTAAAGTACAGGGATTTGAATTGAAACTATGAAAACACAGTCTCGGCCCAATTTATTTATTTTATTTTTCCCCCTTACCATTGTCGCATTAGTTTCTAATAGGAAAGAATCAGTTGAATACATAAACATTAGTGCAAAGAATAACTAGACAAAAAGCGGTGATTTGAATCGAATGAGATTTTCATTAATCAACGGGAAACGTTCGCCACTGTCAACACAGAGGCAATCTCATTGTGTCTTGATAACGATCACATCATACATATTTCATGTAGGAAACACATTTTCAAAAACCCTGCCAAGCCTAGATTTTTCACTCTGATACGTTGTGTTTTGGTTTGTTAGGTGCACTTTGCATAAACAGTTCGGCTGCCGAGTTCCAACTTCCGTTGACAAGCATTTTGGAAGATCTTCAATCGCTCCGGCGTAAAAGCGATCTCTATCAATTGATCTTTTATCTTCGCTTTTTTAAAGTTTTCATCTCGAGAGGAGATGAAAATTGAGAAACCTAATATCACGTTTGTTTCCTGTTTTCTTTTTGAAACTTTTCCCTTAATCTGATGTCTCAAACTCAAGTAAGAATTGGCCCACCATTGTACCTTTCTTCAAGTAAACCGAACGGGAAAAATCTTCGAATTAAAGCAAGGAATGACTTTAGTGGCTGCTTCAGTAGAAGTAACTCTATCGATGCAAAATGTCCCATTACCCAAACATTAATAACTTCTTTAACCATTCTTTTCAAGAATCAAAACTGGCTTTCCCTGTCATCAGTGTCAAAAATCTTATCGGTCGAAACCTGACATTCGACATTAAAATA